ATGCCAAATTTCATCAAAATCGGTTGCGAGGTTTAAGCGGGAAAGCGTAACAGACAGACAGACAGACAGACAGACAGACAGACAGACAGACAGAGTTACTTTCGCATTTATAATATTAGTTGGGATTATTTTCTTTTTAAATTTCTTTGTATGAGTTCGCAAACGCAATCGGCGATATCAGTTCGCCAGTATCTATATTTGTGACAGCAAATAATTGGGACATTTTCATCTCACTTGTCCCAATTTGTTAAGAAACAAAATACAGTGCAGTAAAATTACAATGAGTTTTATTAAAAAGGTCTCATCGCGACATTCTTATGGAGTAATTTTGTATATTACATAAATGCCTCTATTGTAATTGTAATGAAACGCTAAAGTTAAAAACCTGTAGTATACAATGTAAGCTCAATTTTAAACATGGCAGTTACTCCATAAAATAAAAGTCAAGATTACATTTTTTCGGAGTAGGAGCGTTAATTACCCTGATGAAATTAATTAAGCATCCAAGATGGACACTGATTTAGTTAGCCACGGCTAATATTACACAATGGCTCATTTAATGAACAGATTACATAAATGATAAGGTACTGAAAACTCGCTGAAAAAGATTTTGACTTTGAAGTGTATTTAAGGAATCTGAAGTTAGGGTAGTTACAAAAAGACTGAATTGCATTAGTACTTTTGGTATTCAATTCTTGGCTAATTGATGCTTTATTTAATAATAAAATTCTCGGACTTATAGGCGCGACATTTTCGTCTATAGATAGATGACGAAATTTCACTTCGAATGTACCTTTTGAAAAGAAAGAAAATGGTAGTAAAGTTTAATTTAGGCTCTACTCTTACTTACTCTCTAACCCTTGACAAAAGTAGGTATAGAACTATCTAAAATAACTAGGTACTTATAACTGAATAATTACACAAATAGAAAAATACTACTCGTATACAATTACGTTTCTAACGACCTTTCTATAAAATACCTAAGCTTGAGATTTCGTGAGCATTAACCTTAACTCACGCCGTGAGATCATTATGTGTGCAATCAATGAGGTCACGATCCTTAGGACGAGGGAGGGACTACATAAGCCGAACATATACACTATACATAGTATAGCAATACATATTAGCAGAGTAGCCGCCAAACTGCCAAAATCGGCGCAGGCGCATAGGTCAAGCGCATCCGGCCGTCTCGCTCGCACTTATACGTTAGAAAGAGACAGCCCCGCCCTAGAGGCTTGCACCAAAAATGCAGCGCGACCGCACTCCGTCGATATTGAACTTTTTGCTTGCAGTAACCTAGTTCTGCCTTGTGGTTTCGTTTGCCGTTTGCCGAAATTGGTTAAGGACTTACTCTGAGCAAGCCAAGCTGCTTAATTCTCTGAATTATTTTGAGTCGAGCTGTAATTAGACTGAATTAAATGATTTTGAATTGAACAAAAACATGAAACTTATGCACGATGTTGATAATAATGTTTTGAACGTTAACGGTCCTTTTGACGATTAAATTACAGTTAAACTGTAGTTAAGTTCCGACAAGCACAAGTTGAAGTTTAGATCTTACAGCCACACTATGTAACGCATAGTTGTTTCAGTACAATACCTGAAGACAATATAGCGCTAATTTTCGGTAATAATACAGACCATATTTATCGGTTCACTAAGTTTCCGAATTGATCAAATAATACATAGAAGTAATAACATTGTAGAGTCACACAAAACAGTAGTAGTATGCGACTTTATCGAATCCAAATGTTGCTTTGAAAATCTTCCTTTTCATAACATAGAAAAGTTTCCAACCTAAGTAACCTAACTATCACCATCATTATAGAAAAAAGATGTAGGCATAAACTTAAACCTTAAAGACGCAAACAGAAATGCAGCTGTTTCTAACCCTACCTTCTCTACCTAAACACAACGTCTATAAGTAATTTGTTAATATATTATACCTTCATACAATGCTAATGATTCTCGAATAAACCTTCAAAAAAGGACCATAACACCTTCCAGCAGAGTTCAAAGACACGTCCCTACATTTTTGATGCTTGGATCTCACGAAGCATGAATTCGTGGCATTAAATCATACGCACAAGCCCGTCCGTAGACATGCAAATGCGCGTCTTAGGTGTCATATTTGAATAAGTAAGCAGATGGAAACATACGACCTGAAAATTGAGACGAACACGCCGCGGCACGCAAAAAAGATGGGCGGTTTTACATGGCCTTCTGTAATATGCTAAAATACCTACTGCGTGTGTTTTAAATAAATTAATAAAGGGGTAATAAAACTACCCTAGATTCAAGAAATTATGCGTCGTCCTCTGGTCTTTCAAATCTTTTTTGCTTGGACTCTACATGAAGTTTATATTATATTTACAAATGGCGGAGATACCTTATCTCTAATTAGAAGGAAAACAAATTCTCTACTAATTCAACATCTTTTTCAATCAAATCTCATTCCCATTGCAACAAACCAATCCAATTTGACTGGTTGTACCAGTATACATATTTGAAACGTAATCGTTTTGAAAGCCAGGAAGAAAATCAGTTTTACAGTTCATAAGTAAACAGACTTCAAATACATAGGAAAAGCTAATATTGTTAATTATCTACTCGTATGTACAGTGACGTATCTAGGTCATGTTTACATAAAAAATAAGCATAAAGTAAGGACGTGTCTGCACGGAATTAACTTTCGTATTATTTTCTCCCTTTATTTAGTGCCTTGCACGTCGCACCAGACTTTGGGGGATACATTTTTAACTAGACAGCTCGCCCAGTTGCATGTGTATCGAAAAATATTATTATGGTTTGAAATTATGGAATAAAGTTCAGCCATATCTAAAATGCTTCATGTTCTTCACAAAAAGATCTTAAATTATAGAGTAGCTACATATAACTACTCGTAATAACACGTATGAGTCTTGTAACTTAATAGTTTGACTGGGATATTTCTTACTCACATGGAACATAGACCTTCGAAGAATATCGACATAACTTATCAGTATTATAAGTATAGCTCTGTTTTAATATATTGGAGAAACCGAAACCTAATCAAACATTGGAAAACTTTTGAAAATCAAACCTCGAGCAAAGTTCGCGACATGAAACATATTGCATGACACAATCTGACAGGCGTTGGCGGTTGTAATCATATTTCCCGCGCGTGTCTTTACTATTAATTACATAATATCAGCCTTATAATCAACTCGATGGAGGCAAACGCCTATTCATTACCCCCGAATTCGTAAGGCACGTATGTAGCTTCCGAGATAACAAGCAATTTGCACACTTAACTTCTGGCGGGAATATTGTTGTAGATTTAGCCTCAGTTATATTAAGCTAGACTAAGCATTTACGAACTCCGAGGTACGTGGTTTAATTGGATAATTTATAGAGAACTAGATTGCATAATATTGCTCATCTTTTTCACTACTTAATCTAGTTATTTCAAAATGGCGTAACTACTCCTAATTAATTCGCTTAGCTTTGCTTGAAAATTAGTTTGACCTAAGCAACTAAATTAATGCAAAAGTTCATGACCTATCAAGATGTCAAATAGAAGACGAAGAAAACATTTTAGAAACAAGATTTCTTTCTAGACTTAAATAGTAGTTTTAGATGATCACATCAAACGTAAGTAAATCTAATCGCAGACGACAACTAAGATAATTATGTTCCTTAATAAAATAAAGCTAACAGTTTTCATTTATACAGCAGCCCGACAAAACAGTAATCTAAATCGAATTCTTTCGAATTTCAACAACAAACAATCGATGGAACAGCGATGGCCCCCGGGGGGCACTGCGCTCGTAACTCTTCGCTCCACTGTTTCAGCTCCGCAACTCCTAATGAAAATTGTTGGACGTGTGTACAACTATTTTACTTTGAGAAAACAAATGATTATATAAGCGCGAACGCCTGTGGAATAGTTAGAGCAACATGTATTATGTCGTGGAGTTTACTCGTTTTAAATTTTCTTTATGGCAAATGAAAAACTCTCATCGTCTCGAAATAATCATCTCATGCACTATTAAAGTTTCATCGCAAGGAAAATGTTAGTTCATAGGGCCTTTTATTTAATGTCAAAATAATTATGTAAACGTTTTCGCAGACACTTTAAATAACCTTAAAAAAACTTAATAATGGTAAACTATAATTAATTTAAACAGGTTTTTAACGCGGTAATGGATCACTGAGAGATCGTGTATAGGTTCATACAGCATCTAAAATCTAAAAATTTATTTTTATCGCACAAACCTTTGCTCCTTTCAGAATTCGAACCCGCGACTAATTCGAAATACGTAGCACAATGGTTCAAAAGTATATAACAACAATAGCAGACGTTACGAACATTACACCCCGGGCGGCAGTTAACTTTCTGGGTCCGAAACGGCCTCAATATACAGCCATCCACTCATATGCCTAGCAGAGGGTCAACATTACCTATCTATACTTCTATACCAATATTATAAAGCTGAAGAGTTTGTTTGTTTGAACGCGCTAATCTCAGGAACTACAGGCCACCATTATCTTGCTTCAATATAAGACAATATCATCATCATCATCATTTCAGTCATAGGACGTCCACTGCTGAACATAGGCCTCCCCCAATGACTTCCACATCGCACGGTTGGTAGCGGCCTACATCATAAGGCAATATAGTGCACTATATTGAACACTGCTTATATCGGTTATTGAATAGCTAGAATGACAAGTAGAATAGAAAACATTTGAGTAAGCCTGCTGGTCCGAAATAATTATAAATGTTGTGTTGGATAATCCATTTATAGAGGAAGACTAAAAGCTACATACATTACACTTCACTACACAACACATCACGCTACGACCAATAGGCGTAGAGCATCAATGAAATATGTTAAAAAAAGGGGAATAATGATTCAAACTATCAGTAATTACATCCTATTTAACGTTTGGAATAGCAATAAAGCATTTGAATTTGAAACTATTTTGACGCGCACGAAGTCGCGGGCACAGCTCTACTAGCTGCTATACTTGCTTAGAACTTTATATGGATAGTCAGCTTTCGCAGACAGCGCCGTAAAGCTGTCTATAAAGAGTTGCGAGCTTTCGTCCCCTGGGCCCCATGATCGTTGTATCGATTGCTTTCGACGCTACAACAGTAAAACAAGGAGTAGTACGAACTGAGTACTTTATCTTTGCTACGGCGAACCATTAGGGCTGTTACAAAGCCAATGTAGAGTCATAACCTTGCTATTAAGAGCAAGCTTGGCAACTAAAATGCAAACATTTTACATGAGCAGGTGCTATATTTTCGCTACAGAAAAACATCAGGACTGTTTTCAACTTAACATCAGGAGCCAGCTTGGCAAAGATATTTTATTCCTCTATCTTATCTGACACTTAAAATTTATCGCTGAACAATTCGAGTTATTTTAAACTAAGGCCCCGAACAGACGGTGAAACGCAACAGCAACGAAACTGCAACTGCTAGTTACTTTTGAGTTGCATCTAAGTTTCTGCCATAGCGTCCCTTGAGAGACCACACATGACGCAACCAGTTTGAAACTTTCAGTTTCAGTTTCATTCATCAGAATCATCAGAAAGTTGCAGTTTCGTTGCAGTTGCGTTTCGCCGTCTGTTCTGGCCCTAAGTGACCCCGCGCATAAGCAGCCTGGCTGCAGCCAGTCGAACATTTGACGATGTATGGGAACCCGCGCACTAAGCAGCCAAGAGTGTTCATCATCATCATCCATATGTCGGATTTCCTACCACAGCCAGGTGGCCTAATGCACGGGAGGCTTGACTCTACTTTTTCTAGGAAAGTACTCTTTAAAACATGATTTTACCACACTTAAAAGAAAAGGTTATGACATTAACTTGCGTTTATGTAAGAGTACCACCATCTTACCTAAGTCTGTCGCTATAACAACAATGTTAACAGCATTGTTGTGTTAGAGGTAAGATAGCCAGTTCATCCGTGGTTGAGGATTCCCGGTGAAGCTCGCTTCCACCTTCGGCCTGATCGTCACTTAGCATCAGGTGAGATACAGGCCAAGAGCTTCCTCGTTGTGGATGAAAAAAAATACATATTAAGATGTTAACAAAGGTGTGCTACTATTCATATTTTACTATGTCTCTACCCTCGGGCTCATGAGTAACCCGTTGTTTATTACATGTATTTGTATTCCAAGAAATATATTACGCTCCCTTTGATAAATATTATTTCGTGTGAGATGAGATCAAAAGAAATGATCTAGTAAAATCTCTTATGAAGATAATATGTTTGTTTCGTGCGAATAAATTTACGGGAATTATAGTTATCTGTTTCTATCATAAAGAGATAAATTATTTGTGTAAATAAAATACCTATCTGCAATTATCTGAAAGCTAGCACTAAAAAAAATTCGTTAATTTATCCTATGTAGGTATGTATATTAATTATATTTCTTTGATTCCAAGACTCTACATCTATGAGTACGTATCTACTTAATACCACTTGATAACTAACTCTGCCTACCTACTTGAATTTATACATATACACTTTCTCATCTCTCCCAACATTTCTGTATTCATAACATTTTATTTCGGCCATAGTTGTCATAGTATATAGACCTAAATAACGTAAGTATATAAAGGTCATTATTATTTAGATCGCCGCAACCCTCTCCCAGGACAAAATACTTCCTCACAAAGGCCTTTTTATGCAGATATTATAAGGCTTCATATAAGTATGAACGCTGATATAATAACAGTAAAAGCTCTTCCCAAGATTTTGCAAGAAAAGTTCCTAAACACAGTTAAGAGTTTCGCGAAATAGCTACAAAGTTAATTTAAAAATAAGAAGATGAAACGTGGCAAAATAAGCAGATGACTTTTGGGATGAAATTGTAAGTTAAACAGGGGCATGAACTTGATGGAAATACTATGACAGGCCTTTTGAAAAGCTTTTTCGAATTTCATTTTAGTCCATTTGATATTTTGAGTTATCTTTTAATGCTTACTTCCTAACTTAATAATTGAGTTTGAGCAACCAAATTTTTTTTGATTATATGAATATCTAAGTAAGTGTGCCCTTTCAGCTTATAGTCCCTAAGATCTTTATGAGAAAATTATACGAAAAATTGAGCAGATGCGGTTTTTTTCTGATACCGAAAATGTATGTAAATTGTTTTAGAAAAACTTCAATCGTTTCCTTTTTGATTAAATGACAGGACGTATCTTCATGTATCGTGTGAGTTGTAACATATGGTCACAACACAGCCCTGATATCAGACTTTATGAGACACTATTGGCATCTGATATAGCATAAACTGCCTTAAGAGGTTAATTTAACAACAGCTTGTAATTTCCTAACCAATCATTAAACCACCAATAAACCAATATTTTAAGCTATGTGCGTCCCTATTGGACATCGAATCTAAAATTCAACCTAACTCTAACCATTAGACTACTTAGATGAAGCACCAAACCTATGAAACTTTTGATTTCGAGTGCATTTCAAAGTTGCAATAACCAGAAACGTGCTGATAAATTTAAAATAAATGGTGTTACGAGCTTCATTTATCATTTAAAGGACATCATCCATTTTGGTCCAAAATCAAAAGTGCCGGCCAAAAAATAAAAGTGCTGTATTCTGATCGAATACGTCCGCCTTAGCATTTATTACTATGGCACCAAAGCCGTAGCACCACTGTGCATCGTAGTATTTGAGCTCTAAAAATATACGAAACGACTGACTTTGATCTCAAATACTACGATGCACAGTGGTGCTACAGCTTTGNGAATAAATGAAAGGGAATTATAGTTATCTGTTTGTATCATAAAGAAATAAATTATTTGTGTAAATAAAATACCTATCTGCAATTATCTGAAAGCTAGCACTAAAAACAAATTCGTTAATTTATCCTATGTAGGTATGTATATTAATTATATTTCTTTGAATCCAAGACTCTACATCTATGAGTACGTATCTACTTAATACCACTTGATAACTAACTCTGCCTACCTACTTGAATTTATACGAGTACATATACACTTTCTCATCTCTCCCAACATTTCTGTGTGCTTACCATGAGTTTACGTTAGGTGTGCTCGCTAGCGACTGCGTAAAAAAATGACATTTAAATGTATGACATATTGTGCAGCGCCCCTAGCGGCTACTTTCAAGAAATAAAATCTTCATTCAATTTTTTGACGTATTCGCTAGCGAGCTCACCTAATGTAAACCCATGGTAAGCACACTGTATTCATAACATTTTATTCCGGTCATAGTTGTCATAGTATATAGACCTAGATAACGTAAGTATACAAAGATCATTATTATTTAGATCGCCGCAACCCTCTCCCAGGACAAAATACTTCCTCACAAAGGCCTTTTTATGCAGATATTATAAGGCTTCATATAAATATGAACGCTGAAATAATAACAGTAAAAGCTCGTCCCAAGATTTTGCAAGAAAAGTTCCTAAACACAGTTAAGAGTTTCGCAAAATAGCTACAAAGCTAATTTAAAAATAAGAAGATGAAACGTGGCAAAATAAGCCGATGACTTTTGGGATGAAATTGTAAGTTAAACAGGGGCATGAACTTTATGGAAATACTATGACAGGCCATTGAAAAGCTTTTTCGAATTTCATTTTAGTCCATTTGATATTTCGAGTTATCTTTTTAATGCTTAGTTCCTAACTTAATAATTGAGTTTGAGCGACCAAATTTTTTTGGTTATATGAATATCTAAGTAAGTTGTGCCCTTTCAGCTTATAGCCCCTAAGATCTTTATGAGAAAATTATACGAAATATTGAGCAGATGCGCCTTTTTTCTGATACCGAAAATGTATGTAAATTGATTTTAAAAAAACTTTACTCGCTTCCTTTTTGATTAAATGGCAGGACGTATATTCTTGTATCGTGTGAGTTGTAACAAATGGACAAAATACAGCCCTGATATCAGACTTTATGAGACACTATTGGCATCTGATATAGCATAAACTGGCTTTAGGAAAGCCTCGTAGGCTTTCCTAAACTTAAAATAACATTTACTTTGTTGGTTAATTTAACAACAGCTTGGAATTTCCTAACCAATCATTAAACCAACCAATATTTTAAGCTAAGTGTGTCCCTATTGGACATCGAATCTCAAATTTAGCCTAACTCTAACCACAGATGAAGCACCAGACCTATGAAACTTTTGATTTCGAGTGCATGTCAAAGTTGCAATAACCAGAAACGTGCTGATAAAATTAAAATAAATGGTGTTACGAGCTTCATTTATCATTTAAATTTGATGCTGTAATGAATTGATTGTAGTTAAATCGACGTGTATCACCACTGACATTTATTTTATATTGCAATTGTTAAAACCGAAATATTGCTTTTGTGTTGCTAATACCAATTATGTTATAATTACCTTATGCAATTTTGGCATTAAACTCCAATTTGCCATAAAAACTTGACTTGTAATGAATACTTATCTATAGTATAAATATTAATTGATGCTGAGCGCGACGCTTGAAAACGGCTGGACCGATTTTACAATACGAAAATTGAAAACCTGTTGGTCTGTTAACACAATAGGTATTTCTCCACAAACATAGGTACATATTTCAATATAGATATGTAGTAAACTACTTAACACAGGCAATAAAAGTTCCTGCACAAAATTATTGTATTGTATTAATTGAACCTACGATGATAGTGAAAGGACTGTTTCCACCTGTAAAGTTAAACTGTCATTGGACCCGCAACGAAATTAATCAGAAAAACATAGGAGGAGTTCGAAGTTAAGGTTGGATCTCCCTCCAGTGCAAAACGGATAGTAGTGTGCCTACACATACCAAGAAGAGGCATAGTAAGTATTACCTTTTTACGAAGAAGTATTTAATTGCCGACACTAATCTAACAGCATCAGGCTGTCAACACGAAGTAGTTCGATCACCGGCGAACGTGGTGAACCCACTCTACACGCGTATATTTAACTCAGCTGGAGGGGTTAACCGTTGTTTTTCTTTAATATAATGAAGTTACACTGACCTGGTTGGCATCCTGCTTCTCGCTGCTGTCGGAGACCGAGGAGCTAGGCGGCTTCTTGCAGAACGAGGGGCAGTACCGGCGACATAGGCACCTGGGGGACAAACAATCACTATATTAGATAAAGGTCATTGGTTGGGGAAGACTTGAGATAAAACCTTAAAAGTTCCATCTGTAAAAATCTATTCTACTTTTACTTTTACTCTACTAAACCGATTCGTTCGTTATGCAGACTGCATCTGTTTTCCCGCTCTACATTTTCTAAGCTAAGACTTTAAGTTATTAGGCTTTTCATGAGCAAGCTTTCTTCATATAAAGATCACTATAGTTTAAGATAGATTTAGGTCAATCGCAGAATCCAATTAAAAAAGACTCAAGATTTAGTTTCGCGTCAAAAGATAGCCTATCATTCTCTCCCAGGTCCTATCTCCGAAAACTTTAACTTTAGGCATGAAGGAAATGTTACTTAAGACAACAATAAGATAACAATAATATTTTCTTTTTCAGTAAGTTTCTAACTATGGCATGTACATTGTACAGCTGCAGATGCTTTCTATTCAATAGTTAACCGGTAGATAGAATGGGTCTGAAGATAAATAGTTTCCACAAGTCTTCAGCATCACCTCTAGACCCGCCTACGGAACATGTTGTGAATACCGCGTACCATTAATTATTGTCATCCCTCTCATTTCCATACTGTGTGGAGCATTACAAGTTAAATATTTAAATGCTTGCATAATGTACCGTCAGGTGTCAGCGAGCGCAAGTGGTGTCATTATACGTATTTTAGTTCAGACTTCAATCGAATTTGAATATTTTCAAAACAACATGTGTTCGTATTTTAAGATAAAACCGCACCAAGGTACTTTCTTAAAATCTTTAGACTTCCTAAGATTATTCATGAAGTACTTAACGAGAAATGTCTTTCATAATAGTGACTGTAGAATGTTAGTGGGTATTACAGGTAAGAAAATACCTATTTTGGGTAGCAATAATTCCAAAACAACACTTATTAATAAACACTTCTATGGCTGTGAAATCAAAATTTTCAGAACTTTGAAATAAACAAATTATCTAATAGTCAATCAAGTTCCAGAACTAGTGACGTCATAAAGTCGTGTCTTAACATCACAAAACGTTAATATAAATAGTAAATAGTACTCGTACTAGTAAAATTAGCTTAATTCAAACACCTGCATTTGTATTTGAAATTCAAATCCAGTCGTAATGCAAATTAGACCTAATTTCTAATTAATTAGGGTCAATTATCGGGCTTGTTTCGCAGCAATACAGAGGCGAACTTTAAACTTGAACGAGTGGATTGAATAAAGTCGTTGGCCCCCGGCCAGTTGGCCGGTCCGGCAGACAGGGGCGGACTCAGATTATTGAGACTACAAACGAAATAATGACGTAATTAAACCAATAGTAGTTACAGTCGCTAGCACTACTTCAATAGTGTGATACTATACATAGTTTTATGGGTGTTGGTGTACATTTTGATAAGGTCTAATGGTCTAGTTCATGTAGTCAACTGCAAATCATCATATTTTGCATAGAGTATCAACATATTGGCTGTTACTTTATATTACTTAGGTACAGACGTCAGCACGCAGAATCTCACCTAAGTATTACAACGGCATCAATGTTCAGCTTGATGTGCCATCGTCTGTACATTAAATATTAAGCCTGAACATTATGATATCCCTATGAAATCAGTGTTATCCCTACTAATATTATAAATACGAAAGTACTCTGTCTGTCACGCTTTCACGCCTAAACCACTGAACCGATTTTGATGAAATTTCGTATAGAGATAGTTTGAGGTCCCGAGAAAGGACATTGGATAGTTTTTATCCCTAAATTCACTGTTCTGTGACAGACAAACAGGGGGCTTACTGTGAGACTAGTGTCAAAAAAGTCTATGAAGATTTTAGTTCTTGAAAGTATACGCCAGGGACGCTGTATAATCCGTCATACATTTAATGTCATTTTTTACGCACTGGAAATCGAATAATTTTGATATAAAGTCACACTATAACGCCTGCTTAAGTGAAGCAGCAAATCGAACGCACTGATTGGTTTGTGTATCACCCTGTGCCTCCACGCGCACTGTGAGACCTCATACAAATGTTTGTGGATACGGGCGAAAGCCCCCAGAATCCAACCCTGTTTGGAATAAGTGATTCTATTTCGCGCAACTTTCCGCCGAGTGTATTGTAAACTACTTAAGGCCNAATAAGTGATTCTATTTCGCGCAACTTTCCGCCGAGTGTATTGTAAACTACTTAATTTGCCTTCGCCATTTTTTACTCGGGAAATGGAGTGCATGAAGTTACGAACTCAATTATACAAAGCTTAGCTTAAGCTCTGTAGGTTTCATGAGATTTGAATGGGAGAGAAATGTTCTTTAGTATTCTTGAATTATAAAATGAGATAATCATAATCTTAATATCTTTATTGCTTCATTTAATTTACTTAATGAACAACTAATTAGGTGGTTTATTTAATATACATATTCTCGTATCGTGACAAGATTAAATCTTGAAATTAAGACAGAAATGATAATTAATGCTTTATTTCAGTCACTTTTAAAGATATAAATCAGGGATCTCCAAACTACGGCCCGTGGGCCATATCCGGCCCGGCACTGCCATCAATCTGGCCCGCGACAGCTTAAGACTAAGCCTATGTTTGCATAGGGGGGCAAACAAATTAAAATTGACCCTTGCAACATACCGAAAAAAATATTATGACCCCAAGGATTCAAAGTTTGGAGACCCCTGATCTAAATGATTGAATTCAATAAAAACACTATGCTATGCCTGATAAAGATTGATTTTTTTATTAACACTGAGACCTACCTTGACTAACATAAAACATAGCTTAATTTGCTGTCACAATTCTGTAAAATATCTGGAATTCGAAAGAATCTGTTCAACTGGGCTCTGTGCCATCCCAATCTAGAAAAACAGTAGTTTTAAGTCGTATTGTATTACGTAGTAACTATGCCAACTCGCTCGACCGGGCCTAACGCGAAAATTATAGAGATAACCAGAAGTCTGCTGTAAAATCGACGGCAACTAGCGGAAGAAACTGCCCGTTAAATTCATTAAATCCAGGAGTTCTTACAAAATATCGTCTATAATAAGAAGGTACATCTAGTCAAATATTAACCCCGGTTATTCTGAATCATTTATTATAAATGGTTATTGTGGAAATCATTAGGGGAGGCATGTTCAGCAGTGGACGTCCTATGGCTGAAATGAAGATGATGATGATGATTCTGAATTGAAATATTTGAACGTACTCGTTTTCAACATAAGTCTATTTTAGAGCTTAAAAGTTCATACTTAAGTAGAAGATGAGCACCCTGAGTCCCTGAGCTCAAGAATATCAATTCAAAAACCGGGGGTAAGCATAAATTATGTTGTTGTCATAGGTATTATTGTACTACAAATAGTAACTATAGTCTGATGTCCTAGCGCTTGTACCTAATGGTCTTCAAGAAATTGGGACTTCTTCACCTATTCTCAGGCCAGAGTGAAGTAAACAGCGCTTGAAAGCAAGTGCCAAAATAACCAATCCTAAGCAAATAAAGCTGTGTTGCCAGGTGCTTCGGAACTGCTTGCAAATAAACCTTACATTTTGTTTGGTTACATAGCACATAATGTTGTTTTACAGTGTGGAGTCCTGCATTTTCATTCAACGTTGCAAACAGACAGATAGAACATAATAGAATAAGACTTTATTGAAACAGTAAGCACATTAAACAAAAACAATTTTAAAACAACACAACAAGACTAAAAACCATTACTTAGCCACTGCGCCGAGAGGCTCAGCATTTTTATCTTGACATGCTCGTAAGCACTACTACAATATTAAGATTTTCAGCTATAGTCCATTCACAAAAGATAATCCTTCTTCCCCTCGTGCGTCAGACATTTGAGTGGGTGTTATTCCTTTCAGTTCCAGTTGTTTATACAAACAATGGCACATCAAAACACTGTATTTTTATGTAATTGAAATAGTTTTTTATTTTTCAACAAAAATGTTAGTCTAGTATGAGTATAGTCTAGTATGATAGTGAACTGGAGATGTCCTCTTGCTATTGACCAACGTCTTTCACCCTCTGCACCCCATGATAGGCTAAGTTAAGTTTTCCATTCAGAATCATCTATACTTTTAAAGAAGTCTTAAGGCCCAGAACAGACGGTGAAACGCAACTGCGACGAAACTGCAACTTTCTGATTATTCTGATGAATGAAACTAAAACTGAAAGTTTCAAACTGGTCGCGTCATGTGTGGTCTCTCAACGGACGCTATGGCAGAAACTTAGATGCAACTCAAAAGTAACTAGCAGTTGCAGTTTCGTTGCAGTTGCGTTTCACCGTCTGTTCTGGGCCTTAGGTTTCACTGACTTAAAGAGCGAATAACCAATTATGTCCCCCACTCAGTCCCCTTATTACAAGAAGTCCAACTCTAGTTGAACTCTAGTTTTGACATTTAGTATGGAAATGTCATTTTAAACCAGGGTTTAACTTTTTTGTAATGAGGCCCAATGATTTTACCATTCACCTCCAAGCCATCAACTCATCCCACCATATAAGCTTTTCGCCACGCCATATTATATCGACTCTAGCTACATCAAAAAGTATTTTCAATTAAATATTTCCGTAACTCCTACCAGGAAACCCAAACCGGGTGGCATTGTTATTAGCACATGTTTATAGGCCCCATTGTGCAGAATTATTACGGCGCACCATACGGTGCCTCACATCCGACCTATTCTGACCTATTCCGATACAGTATTATGCTAAAATAGGGCAAGGGTCACCTATTTGTAGTGAGTAAGGCTGCGTTTCCAACAAAGTCAGTAAGGCAATACTAATTTTCTAAATAAGTTGTAATAAAGAACTACTGAAACTTATTAAATAGTTTTAATATAAAAATTGAAAAGTTACTATTCAATTTATAATTAATCAGCGTTAGTGGAAAAATATGAGAGGTTTTTAATTTGGAAACGATACATTAGCTCCACTGTTTTTGAATCGTTCCATCTTTTTACCCGACTACGGCAAAGCAAAAGGAAGGTTATGATTTTGACAGGCTATGTATGTATGTATGTATGTTCATATGTTCCCTCGTAACTTCTAAACTACTTATCAGAATTCGACAAATGACATATCATTAGAAGCGTCTTAATTGTCCGCTGGTTATAGGCTATATGGGGTTTCACAAAATCTAATGTGACGCCCTCTATCGGACAGAACATACAGAGTAAAAAAATAAAGTTAAGATAAATATGCCGTGTTTGGTATCATTTGAAAGCGCTTTACTTGTACATTTTGAATATATATATATATTACTAGCATTTGCTTGTGACTTTACCTGTATTTTACCTTTGGACTGATTGCATATAATTCACATCTTTTCGTTCATAGTTTCTTTACTACTTAGTCAATTTAACTTTTTTTAATATTATGCGCCACAAATACACTTTAACACCAAAATAGTACAAATAATAAAAAGTAAAAAAACTAAATCCCAACTACGACAAAAAACGACGCTGGAAAAGTATAAAACAAGATTTTCAGAATACTGAACTGAACAAAGTTGCTAATGTAGTTGCATAGTAATTTTCATGTTTTATAATGAGTGTTTGTAATTCTTAGTTATATTCTGTGTAGTTACTGTTCTTATATTGAACAATTATCACTACTCAGATCATCATAATTTATTGAAAAATCGTACGACTCTAGCTATCTCAAAACCCCAAAATTCACTCAGCTATAACCACCATACATCCTTATCTTATATCGCACGACACAGTTCTCAAACGCTAACCATACACTAACGGCCGCCCGCCCAAACAGCGCCGCCCAATATCAAACACCGTCAAAGAAGCCGCCGCCGCTAGTAGTTTGCAGTCAAACAAGGTTCGAGCACACTCAGGAATATAGGCACTTGCAGTTTAGAACTAAGACAGCAATTTGGAGCTCTAAGGCCCATGATATAATGCGAAATTAGGAATCTACTAACGTGGTCTAAAATGGAAATTCTTTAAAATACTTTTGCACTCCGCCATTCTTCTTCTTGTTGTATCGACAAAAAACCTACACAGTGTCAGCCCAAACTCTTTCTTTTTCTAACAGGTTTAACGGCTTCAGAGTATCCTTACGGATGAAGACATTTCAACATAGAAGAAGCCCAAAACTCTGCTACAAGAGTGGCGTTGTCAGTAGCATTCATTAAATCTTCCTGCGTGCAGTGGTTTGGGTACACTACATCATGTGCTTCATACACTTGCACTCCAAGTTTGAACCATCTGAGAATCCCCACCATTTAATCTCAAAGTAAGCAAAGCTTGCACTATGGGGGACAAAGTGTAAATATCATATTTAAAGATTCTTCAATAACAGTAATCTATCTATCTATCTATATAAATAAAAATGAATTGATGTTCGTTAGTCTGATTAAAACTCGAGAACGGCTGGGCCGATTGAGCTGATTTTGGTGTTAAAATGTTTTTCGTAGTCCAGGGTAGGTCTAAACGGTGAGCAAATAAGGAAAGATTTGCTTATTTATTGCCTCTAAGGCGGAACAGAGCTCGCCGGGTCAGCTAGTCTACGATAAAAAAAGAATATCGCCAAAAGAAGTTCGTATCCACTTGGATAAATTGTAAGCGATATTAAGTTACCGAAATATCTTTACGTCGTTAGCTAACTACCAAATTACTCGCTCGTTTCGACACCGGTGCTGATGGCAGCCTGTCAACGTCTCCTGACGTCATCTAGCTAACTGATGTAAGAGTAGCCTGAGGGTAAACTTTCGCTACTGCACGATGTTTGTTGAACTTTAGATACAAGTTAAGGTCAGGCTGGCAGAAACTTGATGAATTGAAATTTTAATCTTCTAAATATACATTTATAAAAGGAGAAACTGACTGACTGACTGACATATCAACGCACAGCCTAAACGGCTAAACGTAGGCACTTGAAATTTGGAAGGGACGTAGCTTAGGTACCGTAGAGGTGCACTAAGAAAGGAATTCCCGAAATTCCCACGGGAACGGGAATTAGCGGGAAAATCCTTTTGTATGAAAAATCTAAACCGCTTAAGTTAGACACTTGAAATTTGGCATGCAGTTACCTTAGTAAACTTAAAGCTTAGTTACAACAGGTGTTGCAAATTTCCCACGGGAACGGGAGTTAGCGGGAAAAAACATTTGTATGAAAAAATCTATATACCGCGTAAGAAAGATGAAGGGGTAAAACGGGATCCACGCGTACGAAGTCGCGGGCGGCCGCTAGTCATTAAATAAATTCACTAGCAGTCGCCTGCGACTTGCGCGTCACCTTTTTATCCCCTTAGGGGTTGAATTTTGCAAAATCCCGTCTTAGTGAGCACCTACGTTCCCCCATGCAAAATTTGAGACTCCTAGCACTTGTAGTTTCTGAGATTTCGTGATGAGTGAGTGAGTCAGTGACCTTTCGCTTTTATATACTCTTAGATAGATAGATTTGTTTTTGTTTTCCATAAATACTCGTACAATCGTTAGCGCTAAGCACATGAGTGTCAGTCTGCCTTCGTCTGTTACAACATAATCCCATAAATAATGTATTTTCGTTAAAGGTAATTCTCATTCTCATCCTCATCTTTCATATTCTTAGCATGGTTATGACAACAATTTAATCACTACGTAATTTGTCGGCAGAACACACTTTGAATAAAATTCTGTTCATTGGTATTGGAATTCTGGAATTCAATTCATGGAGCACAAAATGAAGTCGATTTCTTACATAACAAATCCAATATCCGCCAGAGTCACCTCGCTCGTGTGAGAACGTTAAAGAATCTTGGATTAACACCACATCTCACCTCAACACCTTATGAACCCTATATCTATTCAGATAAAGTGAAAATTAGATTGCAGATCCCATAACGCCTTACAGTAAAGTTCGACATATTTCATAGATCCGCGTATTGCTAAAGACATTTTGTGAGGCGCTTTCAAATTGATTCTGTGACAAATCTCAGCGTTTGAATACTGGACGGGTTTTGACAACATTTGTATGAGATCGGACGAAAAATGAAACGGAGCGCTATTTATCTTTGTTATTTCTGTTTAACGAAACACGCGGGTTGGATTATGCGATTTGAAATGGGATTGCGCGACTGTTATTTTATGGAATAAAAATACGAACGGGAAACGGCAGTATTTCCTGGCTATAATAATACTAGTACATTGATTTGAAATCATAGCTGCATTTTCGAACACAAAATTAGTTCTTCCTATGACATTGTTCATTGTTTTTTCTCTCGCTCTCATCAAATCATTTCAGTTCGCCTAGTATCAAGACCGTTTGAGGTTATTATATCATGTGAACTGACCTTATGAGAAGCGTGGCGAAGAGCACGGCCAGCAGCGGCAGCAGCGTCCCGAAGCAGGCCAGGAACAGAGTCTGCACGTCCGTGAACCCTGAGAACACAGACAAGACTGCGCCAGGTTACATGCCAACACACACCAGCATATGACGCCTTGGAATGAATATACATCAAGTATCAAACTAAATAAATTAATACATAAAGTCATCAAAAGAACCATCCCGGATTCTAACCCCGCCGCCGCTCGACTATTGTGGTGAGCCCACTCGTGACACAAGCATAATTATTTAGCTTAGTACGAGGGGCTAACAGGAATCTTTAAAAAAAACCCCATCTGGCCAATATAAAACAAATAAAATACTCCATTTGTCTCTAGTAGGTCATTAGAAAGAGTCGTGCTCCTGCATCTGAACATTGTAATAATAATGTAGTTGTGATTGATGCTATTTTGCAAAATTGTCCACTTTACAAGGAAAATTGGAACTAAACTTATACGTGTATAAGTATTTGTCCCAAAACTGCACCTGTTATAGTTGTTGCAATTCACGAAGGCGAGTGAGCTTAGCCTTCGTGAGTTGCAAGAACTATACAACTAAATAAGGTAGGTACTGAAGTGCTTGAGTAAGTAGTGTGCCGCCATCTACATATAAATGCTTTACCGATTATTCAAAAGATCGTGAACAAAAACAATTATCTACTTAGTTAATTATTGTATCCTCAACTTATACGGTCTCAAGGTCTTTCGAGCGTTCATAAACTTAATCAATTTCCATAACAGATACCCTCAATCAACGGAGGAAGAAAGCCCTTGTAGTGGGGCGTTCGAGCGGACTTAATCGGGTGATGGGACCCTAACATAATATCCAGTATCTAAACAATAGCTTTGCCAAGTATTCGTATATATTTAACAGCCTGAAACAACCATTTTTGACGAATGAATTATTTGAATAGGCTGTCCTAATCCCACACAATTCGCACCATGTTGGGCGCCAATTTTGAAATTTTCTATTATCCATGCATATTGTGTGAATACACAATTTTGGTTGGAGATTCTAAACACGTGTTTGATACTTTCAATTCACATGCTGTTAGAAATTTTTTAACTTGCACCACGTTGGGCGCCACGTTATTGAATTCTATTGACGTTATCACACCTTAAAAAGCAAAGCTGCTTTATTTCAATGCATTTTGAATAAAAAAAAAGCTTAAGGCTATTTTATTACAATATTATTCAAAAACTACTATCGGCCTGCGTGCGCGATGGCGATGGCGATCAATGCATTTAAAGCTGATTGCTATAGCCATCGTGCTCGCCGGCTGCACGCGTTAGTTTGGCCGAACCTTAAGCGTTAGATAACGGGTTTGAAGTAATAAATAGGTTTAACCCTTATAACTCAAAGGTTGTAACCTAATTTACCCTCTTTGTAGGCGAGACGGCAGCTCACTTACGATTGCTAAGTTGGTAAACTTTGACATTTCGAATTTACTAAAACTAGCAGCTTGACTTATTGTATTAGTTTAATGTTTTTAAAGCTGTAAAATATACCTCTTTTGTAGCGGTTGATGAAATGGAACCCATACAATCTCAAATACAAGAATATTTTTTTGTTTAAAAAAATATCACATTATGAAATTTTGTTTCAGATATTATCCGGTACCGGCTAGTGGTAAGTTACTATCTTATATTTTTGTTTAGTATAATATAACTAAGAAATACAATAGAAGTAGGTATTGTGTGGTGTTTTAGCTTAGGTATTGTAATTTATTTGCCATAATCTTCTAGTGCTGTTTTGTATTTTACTTTATTCTAAACTCGCTTCTTGTATAACTTTCAAAAACAAGCTCCATACTCCTATTTCACTTGTTTAAAAATGCGAGCTGGAATTTATAAGATATTTTCAAAACAATATTCGCTAGAAGATACTGAATTTTAAGACGAACAGACGGCTGCATGAGACTCGCTTACTATAAAATTCCTTTTGCAGAAACCGATCTTTTTATTCTAGAAAAACCCCGAGGGTAGTTGTAGGGTTGCCACAACTAGCATTAATAAAACAACTCGAAAATATAAAGAGATACGTGTAAGTTTCTCTCTGGAAGAATAAATTGTATTTCTTTGGACAAAGGCAAAGTCACTTTAATTAAATATTACCACTTATCATAGAGACATTTTTAAAATATCGCTGGCTGACACTACAAAAAGAAAATATCCAACACAGCAGACATAAATTGTTTTAAAAATCGTTCAAAAACACTTACTTTAAATAGACTAAACTAACGAAATTCTACAAAATCACTAGATATCACTTGATATTACATTTCTGTCGGTGGCTTTGTGGTATTATAAAATATTCATCTCAAATGGCGTTCTTTTTAAAAAGTGAAAAATTTTTCAAAGAGGTGAAACAGTGCCACAGATTAACCTCCACATAAACACACTTAATAAAATCCTGTCTCTCTATTTCTCTTTCTATTAGTATTAACAAGTATGGCCATCCCTGGGCATCTTGTGAGTAGACCAGTCGTAATCGCGGGGCCCCGCAGTGCCCTAGGTCCGGTACTACATCCAAGTGCAAGACTCTATGATAACTCGAAAAACTCTTGTCTATGGTCAACGTTTGTATTCCTATAAATACCTCAATATAATCTATCTACAGGGTGTTAGGTAAATGGGTATATGAGCCGACACTAGCCCATGTTAACATGGTCATATAAATGGTATGGTGAAGTCAGAAATTTGATATCATCATTTTAATTTTTTTAATTTTCATACAAAATTAATTTTATAAAATCCGATTTGTATGAAAATTAAAATAATTAAAATGCAGATATCAATTTTCTGNACTACACTATACTAGGAGTAGCCTGAGGTACTTTTGCTACTGCACGATATTTGTTGGACTTTAGATACAAGTTAAGGTCACGCTGGCAGAAACTTGATGAATTCAAATTATAATCATTAAATAAATTCACTAGCGGTCGCCCGCGACTTGCGCATCACCTTTTTATCCCCTTATGGGTTGAATTTTGCAAAATCCTGTCTTAGTGAGCACCTACGTTCTAAAAGGAACCACCATGCAAAATTTGAGACTTCTAGCACTTGTAGTTTCTGAGATTTCGTGATGAGTGAGTGAGTCAGTGACCTTTCGCTTTTATACACTCGTAGATAGATAGATTTGTTTTTGTATTCCATAAATACTCGTACAATCGTTAGCGCTAAGCACACGAGTGTTATGAGTGTCAGTCTGCCTTCGCCTGTTTCAACATAATCCCATAAATAATGTATTTTCGTTAAAGGAATTATCCTCATCTTTCATATTCTAAGCATGGTTATGACAACAATTTAATCACTACATAATTTATCGGCAGAACACACTTTGAATAAAATGCTGTTCATTGGTATTGGAATTCTGGAATTCAATTCATGGAGCACAAAATGAAGTCGATTTCTTACATAACAAATCCAATATCCGCCAGAGTCACCTCGCTCGTGTGAGAACGTTAAAGAATCTTGGATTAACACCACATCTCACCTCAACACCTTATGAACCCTATATCTATTCAGATAAAGTGAAAATTAGATCGCAGATCCCATAATGCCTTACAGTAAAGTTCGACTTATTTCACAGATCCGCGTATTGCTAAAGACATTTTGTAAGGCGCTTTCAAATTGATTCTGTGACAAATCTCAGGACGTTTGAATACTGGACGGGTTTTGACAACATTTGTATGAGATTGGACGAAAAATGAAACGGAGCGCTATTTATCTTTGTTATTTCTGTTTAACGAAACACGCGGGTTAGATTATGCGATTTGAAATGGGATTGCGCGACTGTTATTTTATGGAATAAAAATACGAACGGGAAACGGCAGTATTTCCTAGCTTTAAACCAGTACATTGATTTTAAATCATAGCTGCATTTTCGAACACAAAATTAGTTCTTCCTATGACATTGTACATTGTTTTTTTCTCGCTCTCATCAAATGGTTATTCTTTGTGATAAAACGAGACAACATGATCGGAAATGGGTAGCTGGAACTGTGGCCGATAATACGTACAGAATTACTATTATTATCTTGTAAGTTTTTATATCCCCCAGGAATGTATAAAAAATAATTTTAGTTCGCCTAGTATCAAGACCGTTTGAGGTTATTATATCATGTGAACTGACCTGATGAGAAGCGTGGCGAAGAGCACGGCCAGCAGCGGCAGCAGCGTCCCGAAGCAGGCCAGGAACAGAGTCTGCACGTCCGTGAACCCTGAGAACACGGACAAGACTGCGCCAGGTTACATGCCAACACACACCAGCATATGACGCCTTACAATGTACAATAAATAGGACCTGTAGTAATTAATACATAATCATGGACATCATAAGGAAACCAGCACCCATAATCTAAAGCAGGGGTCTCCAAACTACGGCCTGCGGGCCATATCCAGCCCGCCACTACCATCGATCCGGCCTGCTACAGCTTAAGACGAAGCCTATGTTTGCATAGGTGGACAGAAAAATTAAAATTGTTATGGCCCTTGCAACGTACCGAAAAAAATATTATGGCCCTAAGGCTTCAAAGTTTGCAGACCCCTGATCTAGAGAATATCCAACCCCAATTCCAACTCATCTGGCCAGCGCATGGGAATTTGGTCTACCAAATTCTCTATTGGCTGGTACTAATCATCTATGGTATAGTCTGGTAATAAAAAGGGTTGAACTTCTGTAGTCGACACTAAATGAGCTGATGATGATGATGTTATATCAAGCTAAACACTGTGGCATTGTATCTAGCTAAGATATTTAATAGTTATACATGTATCTAGGTAGTCTTGTACTGTCCAATGTACAAACTTTATGCACTTTTGTTACCAATCGCACATGGTTTGGCAAATATGGTTATGACTTGTTGTTACACTATCTATACATAATTTACTGATCATTCAAAAGATCGTGAACAAAAACAATTATCTACTTAGTAATTATTGTATCCTAAACTTATATTATACGGTCTCAAGGTCCTTCGAGCGTTCATAAACTTAATCAATTTCCATAACAGATACCCTCAATCAACGGAGGAAGAAAGCCCTTGTAGTGGGGCGTTCAAGCGGACTTAATCGGGTGATGGGACCCTAACATAATATCCAGTATCTAAACAATAGCTTTGCCAAGTATTCGTATATATTTAACAGCCTGAAACAACCATTTTTGACGAATGAATAATTTGAATAGGCTGTCCTAATCCCCCACAATTTGCACCATGTTGGGCGCCAATTATGAAATTTTCTAATATTATCTATGCATATTGTGTGAATACACATTTTTGGCTGGAGATTCTAAACACGTGTTTAATACTTTCTATTCACATTGCTATTAGAATTTTTTTATCTTGCACCACGTTGGGCGCCACATTATTGATGTCTATTGACATCATCAAACCTTAAAAGCAAAGTTGCTTTATTTCAATGTAATTTGACAAAAAAAAGGTTTAAGGCTATTTTATTACAATATTATTCAAAAACTACTATCAGCCTGCGTGCGCGATGGCGATGGCGATCAATGCATTTAAAGCTGATTGCTATAGCCATCGTGCTCGCCGGCTGCACGCGTGGTTTGGTTGAACCTTAAGCGTTAGATAACGGGTTTGAAGTAATAAATAGGTTTAACCCTTATAACTCAAAGGTTGTTACCTAATTTACCCTCTTTGTAGGCGAGACGGCAGCTCACTTACGATTGCTAAGTTGGTAAACTTTGACATTTCGAGTTTACTAAAACTAGCAGCTTGACTTATTGTATTAATTAATGTTTTTTAAAGCTGTAAAAATATACCTCTTTTGTAGCGGTTTATGAAATGGAACCCATACAATCTCAAATACAAGAATATTGTTTGTTTAAAAAAATATCACATTATGAAATTTTGTTTCAGATATCATCCGGTACCGGCTAGTGGTAAGTTACTATCTAAAAAAATATTTTTGTTTAGTATAATATATTAACAAGAAATACAATAGAAGTAGGTATTGTCTGGTGTCTTAGCTTAGATATTGTAATTAATTTGCCATAATCTTCTAGTGCTGTTTTGTATTTTACTTTATTCTTAACTCGCTTCTTGTATAACTTTCAAAAACAAGCTCTATACTCCTATTTCATTTGTTTAAAAATGTGAGCTGGAATTTATAACATATTTTCAAAACAATATTCTCTAGAAGATACTGAATTTTAAGACGAACAGACGGCTGCATGAGACTCGCTTACTATAAAATTCCTTTCGCAGAAACCGATCTTTTTATTCTAGAAAAGCCCCGAGGGTAGTTGTAGGGTTGCCACAACTAGCATTGATAAAACAACCCGAAAATATTCACCATCAGAATCCTACGTTATTTTTGATGAACATAGCGGTACGAAACCCGCCGGGTTAGTTAGTAAATCTTCTATATATATAAAAGAAAGTCGTGTTAGTTACTTCGCTTATAACTCAAGAACGGCTGAACCGATTTAGCTGAAAATTGTCCGGGAGGTAGTTTAGAGCCAGGAGAAGGACATAGGATACTTTTTATCCCGTTCTAAATTTAAAAAAAGTCTGCTTATTTATTGCCATTAAGGCGGAACAAAGTTCGCCGGGTCAGCTAGTATGTAATACAAGTGGTGTTACACTAATTGCGTCCTTTGAGACTCGAATTTAGAACTCTATGGCTGAGTTGCACCACCTAACTTTGACTGTAAATTTAACGATAACCGGTGTTTTTGTATGGATTTTGACAGATTTTTGACGTTTGTCAAAGTTAAAGTAAGATGGTGCATCCCAGCCTATGACTACAGACTCTCAGACAGACCTATTTTATTCACTTTATCTCGTTTACAGTTTAAATTGGATATGGCCCTCCCAAATGAAATTCAATATGAATGAAAGGAAAGGCTCTCCTGATTAACGTATGCGAGGTCAAAATAAATTCCTTTATCAGCCAAAATTATAATTCTCAGTAGGAGTGAGGCGCGGGCAAAGCAAACATAATTATCCTGAATGAGTTAGGCCAACAAACAGCGTTTGATAAATATTTAATGGCGATGTTGATCACATAAGCCGGCCAATTAGAACAATTGGTTTGGCGCATTTTATGAACGAAAGGTTATAAAATATCGATGTTCTAGTAAACAAAATAATTGATTGACAAAAAGTATTTTTAAAAGATATGTAACACCCAACTGGGATAGTGAACCGCCTCAGTGAATTCAACCTTAATTAACTTGAAATAAAATAGTTACAGTAATCTCTAGGACCATAGAAAAAGTTGTAATTATTGTTAGTGTAACAGCCTGCCTCTAGGCCGTACCATGTAGGCAGTGTTCACATAATGTTCTTCAATATACGTATAGTTATACTTATACTAATATTAAAAATGCGAAAGTAACTCTGTCTGTCTGTCTGTCTTGCTTTCACGCCTAGACCAATGAACCGATTTTGATTAAATTTGGCATAGAGATAGTTTGAGTCCCGGGAAAGGATAGTTTTTATCCCGGTATTTGAAACAAGGACGTGCGCGAGAAAGTTTTTCTGTGACAGACAAAATTCCACGCGGGCTAAGCCGCAGCCGGAAAGCTAGTAATAAATAAGAAATCATACCTTTTAAGAAATACAAAATCTTAAGTACTACCTCCTTGTTCCATAAGGAAATTACTATTTAGCATAAAAAAATTATTATTGACCTAAGATTATTTTGTAAGTGTAAATATTACCTGAGTATATCATACTCGTATGTATTGAAAATGAAGAAAACAAGTTTTCATTTCCAAGCAGCATTTTGCCTAGTTTACAATAAAGTTTCTCCAAATAAATTGAACCCTAAAAAGGCGTCACCGACAACTCAAGTCCCGGCACGAATGTCCCGTCTCTCAGAAAGGTAATCTCAAACCACCTTACTAAGCAGTGTGCTTACCATGAGTTTACGTTCGGTGTGCTCGCTAGCGAATGTATCAAAGAAATGTATGAAGATTTTAGTTCTTGAGAGTAGCCGCTAGAGGCGCTGTACAATCTGTTGGACATTTACGCGTGATTTTCGCGCAGACGAAATCCGCCGAGCGGGACCTAATTAAAACCACGCCCGCTGCGGGCGAAAACCGCTTCGTGAGTTGTGCATTAGTTTTTACATTAGTATCTGCATTCTACAGAAGCTGTGGGCCCGCAACCGCCGCCGGCGCGGGTGAAAATCGCGCCATGAGTTCTTAGCCTTAGGCTGAGTTACACCATTATACTTTAATCATAACTATAACAATAACCGATGTTTTTGTATGCAGTTTGACAGATTTCTGTCGTTTGTTAACATTAAAGTAAGATACATGGTAAGCACACTGATCCGGCCAAGCCGCTATCTTCTTTTGATTTGGACCCCTACCATGGAACTCGTGGAGGTTGAATACGAATGGCGACCCTAGCGCATAAATTCCAGAGTAGGACCCGCTAATTTGTCAAAAAAAGCCTTTTTGAGAACAAAGTATGACGTGTTAAGGAGGGCTTATATAGGGATGTAATATTTTTAAATTGATATTTTAGTAAAATATCGAAAAAATAACGGAATCAAGTCAAGTAAGCATCTTTTTACCCGACTGCGCCAGAGGAGGGATATTTATGTTTTATTCACATATGTATTTCAGGTCGAAAAAGAATCAAAGATCACATGTTAGAATTTTCTGTGTCAAAAACTTGATTATGATGGTTTTTTAACGAATACACTAAGCATATGAACTACGACTAAGAACTAAATAAAACACACCAGTAATCCTATACAGTCTGATTAACGTATTATTTTTATAGGATTTTGTGTATAAATGTGTATAAATATGTAGTAAAGAGTGTTAACTACGTGGTTATGTTTACCCTATTACTACTATATACGTGTCATGCGGGATTTCTTCAATATCGACATTATAGATTCCCCGATACATCGCACATCCCTAGTCGTGTCGTTGTGATTTGGGTACAGACCCACGACATATAGCGGGTATTGCGGAATTAATCGAGTTTGTCGCAAATGTTTGCGGTGGGCATTGGAGACAATCCGTGTTGGGGAAGGATGTTTTGTTTGATGTATAAGAAGATACGACGACCACCTTAATCAATTGATAGCTTAGAAAGGTAAGCCACATAATTATATGCTTTATTCTAAGTATCTTAGACTGAACAGAGCGGCGCTTCTCATTTTTCCAAGCAAGTTATTCGTACAGTTTTGACTAGTTCACTTCGCGCATACCGGTTGTGACAGTCCTGTAGTTCAATCCTAGAATGTGACA